AAAAAAAAAAAAAAAAAAAAAAAAGGCTCAGATGAGCATTAGCATGTTGTTGTTTGAGACAGTCTCCCTCTATTGCCCTGGCTAAGCTAAAGAACAGTGGGGTTATAGCTCACCACAACCTCAAACTCCTGGGCTCAAGTGATCCTCCTGCCTCAGCCTCCGCAGAAGCTGGAACTACAGGTGCAAGCCACCACACCTGGCTAATTTTTTCTATTTTTTGTAGAGATCGGATCTCACTATGTTGCTCAGGCAGGTCTCAAACTCCTGGGCTCAAGCGATCCTCCTGCCTTGGCCTCCCAAAGTGCTGAGATTATAGGCTGGAGCCACCATGCAGGTCCATCATTAGCTTAAGCCCTATTTTCTAATTAAGGTATGTACATGTTTTTAGACATAATGCTACTGCATACTTAACAGGCTACAGTATAGTGCAAATACAACTTTTCTATGCACTGGGAAGCCAAAAAATTCATCTCAGTCAATATATTTGCTCTACTGCAGTGGTCTGGAACCCATCTCGCAGTATCTGAGACATGCCTGTATTGCAGCAAGAGGATTCACATATTACTCTCCAATCTCATTAAGGTGAAAGTGATGAAAGGCAAATTTGAGTCAGTCTGCCATCTTCCAAATCAATGTATTATGACTAGGTTCCAAAATCACCCATAACTGTAATTACTCCTTTTGATATTTAAAGACCCCTTTTCAACATGCCAAGAAAAATCATGAAATTATACCCTACCAAAGCTGGGGGCTTCTTTCACCCTTAAAGTGGAAAGGAATCACTTCCTAAGGAAAAACCACTTCCTTTCATAAAAGGCTAACTCTTAAGCAAACTAGTTAGAACCCCCTTACATATGTCAAACACGTCCTGAATTGCTGTAACTCCGCCACCCAATTTAGCTAAGGCACTTCTGGGGTAGGGACGGCCCCGTCCAGCCCAGGCGGGTCTGCGACTCCTGCCCCCACCTCCGCAGGGCCCCGCCACCAGCTGGCAGAGCCGCCACGCGAACGAGGCACTCGGAGAGCCCCTGGGACGAAATAAAGCAGACTCACTTTTCCTTCATTTGTCTTAAGTGATAGGATTTCCTCGAAAGGCATGTGCAAATCCATCCAGCCCCGCCAAACACTTCCTATCACCTGTCGTCTGATAAGTACCACCGCGCCGCGAACTCTGGGAGAACTAGACCGCGAGCCCGCGGCGGGGCGCCGGAGCACGGCCAGTCGGAGCACCCGGGGTCCCGCGAGTCGGCGCGCGCCGGGGCCCCCCGCTCGCTCCCGGGCCCGCCGCGCCCGCGCGTCCCCTGACGCCAAGGCCCGCGGGGCCGGGGTCGGAGGCCGCCATCTTCGCGCCTCCGCCCGCGCGGCCCTCTCCCGCCCGCACGCCGGCCCCGCCCCCACAGCCCCGCCCTCAC